ACCTTAGCGCAGCGAAAGGTTCCGCAAAATCGACGTGGGCCGCGGTCCTCCACCCCGCTCCGCCCGCCCTCCCACCAGGGGAACGAAGGCTGCGGGCCGCAGCCCTGCCAGATGTAACACAGTCAACACCAGTTATTACAGCGGGAGCGCTCTTAAGTCTTTATCGGGGAAGTAACGCGCGCTCGGTATGTTTCCACCTGCAGAGCTGGAGAAGGATAAATGGGACCGCGTGCGGTGGGAAATAGGAGAATGCGTTTTTAGCGCCGTCGAAATGAGTTGGCCTCCGAAAGTTTCGTGGCTGAGAGCAGAAAATAAAATGTTGCTAATAGATTTGGCTCTGCCCTAAATTAGGGCAATTATTAACACATATGCATGGTTTCTTCTGGGGCGCTTACAGCGCTGCGCAAACATGAACGATACCTCCCAGAGAGTCGTGGGATATAGATGCTATTCTGTTTTGCAGACAGAAAGCATGGGTGGCTTGAATGACTTACCCAAATCAGTGCTGGTAATTCTAGGGCAGGATTTCAGTCTACTCTTTTCAGCGCCATTCAGTTCCCAGCGCGATCTAGTGTGATGTTCCCCATTTCCCTTACTTAACTGAAAATCCACATTATGCAGCAGGGTCCATACTGGAGCGCGTGCCACAGCTGCCCATCGTGCCAGACCACTTGCCCCACCACCGCTGGGAGGGAGCTGGAAATGCCAGGCTTACGGGGGAGGCTGTCATCCTTCTGTCTCTATAAACCCTACAGGCTGCAACCAAAAAATGATTCCCTGTCAGGTGCTTTCACACATTGATTCCCTGGTGATGAAGCCTGAGAAGAGGAGCTCACCCAGGTGGTTGAGCTTTGCCAGGATCCACAGCCAGGAGGATTGGAATAGGAGTCCGCCTACGCTCAGACATGTACCAAACTAACAGAAATGGCTTTTTTCATACCTTTTGGCATTTTGATGCAAGTCCTGGTGGGGGTGCTTAGGCTAGAACAAAAGCGTTCTGTTTTAATTGAGTTTAATTATAGCCTGTCTACCTACAAAAGCTGAATTGCTTTAACAATACTGTTACAACTAACTCCCCGGAGTATGGATGCAGTTGTGCTGGTCTAAAGTGAATACAGCTTATTCCTGCCGGGAAAGGGAAATACATTATGTATGTGGGTGCAGGCTCGCTCTGCAAGCAGCTGCAGCTCTTTAAAAGGTTACCACCGCTGCAGCCTGTTGCCCTGCTTGTTCCGGGGGCTGCTCCCTCGGTAGCAGAGTCCTAAAGCTGATTGCCTGGGTGAGCCACAGCCACTTGGCTGCAAAGTTGCAGGGTTTGCTTAATTCAGCATTAGGCTATTTAAGCCCAGCAGATGTTTCACTGAAACGGTTAAGAAGCCTCGGCGTAGGTGCTCTGCTGTAACAGCTGAGGAGGGTCAAAGAGACCTGTGGTGTGATGACAACTTGAGGACCAAAGCTGTTTCACCAGTGAACCGCATGGCTTGGCATAGGATTGGCCCTGTACGGGTACGGCTGATCAAAATAGCTACCCCAGTACCAAAAATTGTTATAGATGGTTCTTCTTTTCCTTCACCTGAGCAAAGAGGAAAAAGGTGAATGGCAGAGACTTGCATCTTTCGTTCTGAATTGAAAACAAATTGTTTCAGTGAAAATTTGAACGCAGCCAGGACCTACACAAGACAAGGAATAACATCTTTTGTCTTTTCTTTTCTTTTCTAATTAAGCACTTTCTAGACCTGCATGAAGCATGGTGACTTGACCGTTTTATGCCCTATGTGTTTGCTTCCTACTGCTCTGTGCAGAGGGCAAAGTCGCATTTGCGGTCCAGTGTCTCGGTTTGGTCATTTCAATTTTGTACTATTATGATTGTACACACAGCTGCATCTTTGCACTAGACAAGGC